ACCTTTTTGTGATTGCTTGGGGAGAGGAATATTGGGTGTTGTTCTTTGTCTTCTCCTCAAGCAGTTCTTGAATCCAGAGAAATGATTCCCTTGCTCCAGTTTTCCCCTGCTGCCTATTCCTAGCACAGTAAGCCAACCAGCTTGTCTTTTCATATCGTGAGCAGCTTCAGAAACATAAACTGATATAACCTTTATTTTGGAAGTAGTAATAGAGGGAGTGATGGAAACGAGACATATAGTTTATGAATATTGAGAATAACACAACCGTGCAACATATTTGATTTTCTGTTATACAGTCTCAAATTAAATTGCTGTGATTCTAGATGCCTTTCCTAATTTACCATAGGAAAACAGCAATACACATTTTCTCTTTTTTACCATTTAAAGGGCAGTTAAAAATACTCTATAGCTAGGATCCTAAATTGTTCTTCTGTTTGCTTAAAGCGAGGGGGAACAGACAATCCCACCAAATTCTTCCTTTATCTGCAGCTTCCCCTGCCTCCAATATCCGACACTATTCCCAAAGGCTCTCCAATCGCCCAGGGAAGACTTTCAATGATTGCAGAGGGAAAGGGGAGGAAGTACAGTGGTACCTCGGGTTACATACACTTCAGGTTACAGACTCCGCTAATCCAGAAATATTACCTCAGGTTAAGAACTTTGCTTCAGGAAGAGAACAGAAATCGTGCTCCAGCGGCGCAGCGGCAGCAGGAGGCCCCATTAGCTAAAGTGGTGCTTCAGGTTAAGAACAGTTTCAGGTTAAGAACAGACCTCCTGAACGAATTAAGTACTTAACCCGAGGTACCACTGTAATGCTCTATTATCCGGACTTTGTTCCTTTCATGGGAAGAAAGTTGTGATCCAGGCCTATGTGTGTTTTTCCTCCCAACTTTTCAAAATAGATTCATGAGCTTCGCATGCCATTAAAACCCTTTTATTTTTCAGGCCACTACAATGAATTCTGGATACACTGCCGCCGCCATGACAGCTGCAGCTCTGGAGTCTACCTGCTGAAGCAACTCCATTCATTTCATCTGAGGGATCTAACTGCACATGCATTCGTTTGAATGTCCATGTTGCATACTATCTTTAAAATTAGTAGGGAAGCCCATGCATGTAAGAACTCCAGCACGGCCAATGGTCAGAGGTGATTTTATTCATATTTTAGGTTACCTTGTTTTTAACATCTCATTTGCATCTAAAATGTTATGTATATTTTATATATAATATGAGCTGATTAGAGGTTTTGATGATCAAGCAGCATAGGATTTATATTAAGTAAATAAAAAAACCAGCCTTCAAAAGTAACAAAGGGTACTCTATCAAGGCTAAAACCTAAGGGTAATCCCCCCCCTAATTATTTTACATTGGGAACAGCCTCCCTCCCCGAACTCATCCTATGAAGAAATAATAATCCATTTTCACTCCATGCCTCAGAGGCTGAGTGAAAAACATTGTTAATCTTTTGGCATAAGAAATGAAAAAAAGCCTTGGGCATTTGCATGAAGTCTACGTTCCTCGGAGTTTCCCATCCCACACAAGTTCATAATTCTAGCCAAGCAGCTCCAATTACTACCATATTCCAGAGAAAGGCTACATTTCTTCCAAATAATGTAACCAGTGGGTTTCTATTCATATTCCTAGTTGAGTCCTAAAATAGCATCATATATGTGTGTCTCTGTGTGATGTTCTCCGAGTTGCTAATAAACAGTAGGCAATGTACTGAATGCTAATATGAACCCCATTAACTCTTTGCAAGCAAGGTTTTGAAGAAGAGCTCATTGTTTGAGTTAATATTTCAAGGAACTAGATTGACATGGTTATTAGAGATCTAAAACAGACTTTGAAAACCACTGAAAGAGAAATAGATAGCAAAACAAAGTATTTTGCCTATGTGTGTGTTTTGCTAGCTTTGGTTGACTCTTCTAACTATGCTTTTTCAAAATCTGAGGCTTTAAACCAGTGTTGACACACTGCCACTTCTGGATCATACATATCCCACAATTCTTTTTTTTTTTTATAAATAATATTTATTGATTTTCCAACCATTTGAACACAATAGAACAGAAAAAACAAAAAAGAAAAAGAAAAAGAAAAGGGAAAAAGAGAGAAAACATAAGATTAACAAAACAAGACGCAAACCATTTAAAACACAAAACAATTTCAATATCTTAACTTTCATTCCCTTATTTCCACGACCTCCTCACGCCTCCCTTTCTGTATTCCACTTCTATTAATTGTTTCAGCAATTCCTTTCCATCTTCCTCTGTTTTCTATCCTATAATTATCTTAACATATTCTAATCTTATTTTTCCCTTTAATACTCTATTTCTATTTATACTTAATTCCTTATAACATTTCTACTAGAGCCATATAACTTCATTCCAACATTTTTCTAACATTCATTATTTTTACAATATTTCTATACATAATCTTAAACTTTTTCCAGTTTTCTTCCACCGACTCTTCTCCCTGGTCTCGGATTTCTGCCAGTCGTTTCCGCCAATTCCATATAGTCCATCAACTTCATCTGCCATTCTTCCTGGATAGATAAATCTTGTGTCCTCCAGTACTTCACAATGAGTATTCTTGCTCCTATTGTTGCATACATGAGACAAATTCTATCCTTCTTTAACACCAATTGGCCGACCATGCCCAGGAGAAAGGCCTCTGGTTTCTTCAAAAGGGTATATTTAATTACCTTTTTCATTTCGTTATGAATCATCTCCCAGAGTGTCTTAATCCTTGGGCATGTCCACCAAAGGTGAACTCTAATCCTCAAATTCGTCTGTTTTTCCTTAAATTCAGTCATAGCGAGCGTCAACTTATGTTCATCAAATTGCCTCTATAGGGCTGGGGCTCTCTTTCTCTTTCTCTCCAGTTGTGTTTCTGTACCTTCAACAGCAACAGCTTTTTCCTTAACTTCTTCCACAGCTTGCCATATCAAAATAGGTTCTTGTATCAATTTCTGGGTGGTTTCTGTATTGGTATTGTCCATACTCCCTGCATTCAAGTCAACCTCAACAATTGAAACATCCACCTTCGCATTTATCATGTCCATTTTCCTATGAAGCTGATCCAATGAGTCATTTATCTTATATAATGCCGCCACCAAAGCCTCTTCTGTCGACATTCCTCTTAGTTTCAAATATACTAGTACAGAGACAGCAACAAAAAGTTACCAAGTCCTCCCAGACCTCAATGTTTTATCAACAGTTGACTGGTCTGTTTTTCTTCTTCCATTTACCATAACATTTGAAAGATTCAAGGTCAGTCCCAGAGTCTCACGATTTTTAACTTGCAGCTGGAAATTCCTCTAGTCCAACTCTTGTAAATCAACCAGTTTCAAAAGCTTCCACTAGGGGGAAACAGTTTCTATTTGTAGAAATCAATAGTATCCTCTTTTAAACAATCCAAAGTTAGTTTCAAATTTGTTTCAATTTTCAGTTACTTTTACTCCTTTTTAAAGCAGCCGGAAACAGTAGAAACAATGTATTTCTCTTATTTAGCTAGCTGTCAATGAACGTTCTAAGCGCTGTCAATGAACATTCCAAAAGACGTCAGTCTTACTAGCAGCCCGTTTCCAGGGTCAGAGCGGCGGTGTTTTAAGCCTCTTCACTCTCTCCCGCAGGCATACTCAATCCGCAACTTCCCCCTCTCTTCTCCTGCCTCCAAGAGGGGGTTTAATGTTCTTTACCGTTGGAAATTTGATCTTTTACAAAAGACCTTCCAAGACTCCAGCTTGCAACTTCGTTGCCTCAGTCTATTTACAAAAAGGGAAGGCGGACTTCCTGTTTTGAACCTCCCCGTTACAATACCAAATTAAACTTTTAGAAATCCAATTCTTCCGTTTCAGCTCTACTCACGGGTAATTACTTTAAAGTCAAATTGTCCACAGGAAAAGGTCAGCGCTTTCTGGCAACAGCTATGTGGCCTCGCTCCGTGGAAGAAGCAGACGATTCGATGCACCGCGCCGCTCACCCCACGTCGCTCCGGAGCCCCGAAAACCGGGGTTCCCCGCGAGTGGGGGAGGCGCAAAAGGTGCCCGCCGAGTCCCACGTTCACAGGCTTCTCCCGCCTGTGATTTTAACGGGTCTCCGCCTTCGCCGTGGCGGCCAGACCCAGATTTCCACGGAGCAGATTCTTCCCGGTCAGAGGAATTCTGCCATTACCGGAGGCGCCTCCTCTGGAAGTCATATCCCACAATTCTTTTAGGATCTTTTCAGATGCTGTATGTGCCTTCTCATCTCCCGCTCCAATATGACAAGAAGTGATAAGGAGATGCGGTATTCAACTATGATGTATTCAAACTAAGTTTTTCTCAGAGTCAACCTATTGAAATTAATGGGCTTTGCCACGCTGTGAAAACTTGCTTCCACAATCACCACCACCGAGACTGTATCTGATATATTTTGAAAAATTGTTGCTTTGTTCACTACACATGTGGACACCTCTTAAAATATTGTAACCAAATTTTGCATGATTGCTGAGATCAGGGGGCAGGTTTTTGTCTATGTCTGGAACTGAAAACCATTTTGTATCATGATAGCAGACTGAACCTTTCAAAAGAACACTGTTTTTAACCACTGGTTTCAAAACTGCACTGTTTTTGTCAGTTTCTTAGAATCCCTGAGCAACACTGGGTACGAGGCACCCAATGATTTATATACAGAGAATGAAAAGTCATTATTACGCACCAACCTTATCTCTGAGCACTGAGAGATTCCAGGGGTTCCTATCGCTTACCCCGGGGTTTGTGTTTCCTTTGGCAATAAGTCACAGTGACTTATTTCACTGTGGTGTTTTTATGATGTATGGTTTATTTACACATATTCACAACCTGAGCCTATAATGGAGGGGTTCGAAGCATTATATACTCCCAGAGAGTCCCGTTTCTCCCACTGCTGCAGCTTTGGCTGAACACTTGGATAAACTTCCTAAGGACAGTTTGACAATGGAACCAGTAACTCGAGGTCTTCAAGCAGAGTTTGGACAGACCTGTTGAAGATGCACAAATGGAAGTTGAAAAGCAGCAAAGAAAAAGGTAATACAGCGCTAGGGTGTTTTATTCCTCATGTCCTCTTTTCCTTTCCTTTATGGGATTTCCGTTGCATGTTTCTTGCCCTTTTCCTTTATTGCAGCTGGGTTTTGCCCTCAGTTTGGCAGATCATGACACAGCTTTTCTGCTGAAATTACATTTATCATTGCACCAGCACTACCACTATATATCTTAGCAACTATGTACACATGGGCTTAAGTGAAACTGTCTTATATGCCTCCAAGTGAGATTTATTACAGCAAGCCTTTGAAATGCCTGTCTGTCTGTATTTCAATCACCCCATGTAAGACCAAGATAGTCTCTTATATTGAAGTGGCCAGTTAGTAAAAAAAAATCCTTTGAATTGAAGAAGTAACCACACAGCATACTTTTCCTCTCTCTCTCTCTCTTTCACACTCCTATATAATCCTAATAATGCCACTTACTGATTGATCTATACCAAATAGGGTAGATATATTCAAAAGAGGACAGGGCTCCTACACTTTATAACTTACATGACAAGCTACAGTATATCTGCTGAAATTCCCCCTTTTCATAACTATTTGTTGCACCTGGACACCCTAACACCACATGCCACTCTATGATTTAAAAAAATGTGTAAGAAAATCTATATCTAAATATGTATTGTATTACAAAATATGAATTTAAATACATATTTTATCTCAACATACCCATTATAAACAATTTTTTATCATGAAATACCAATTTTTATGCATTTTCATACATTACTGAGACGAAAATTGTATTGCAAAATTCAGGGAAATGTGAAATCTGAATGATAATTACATTCCAAACTGCATAGGATGGTCTGCTTAAAAATGTGGACTGATCACAATTTTCCTTCTTATCTAGGTGGAAGCAACCTGTTGTCTCTAGGATGTTGCCAAGGCTCAGATCTCCATACGCTTAGAGCTCAGGGAAGTATATGATCAGGTCTCTACTTGACACTTGAAGGTTCCATGCTCAGAACTTTTCATAGACTACAGTGATGACAATATTCTAGAGAAAAGGGGTCGCATTTCCCCCCCCAAAAAAGACTTCATTAAATTGTTCTATCTAAATTATGCCTACTTATAAAATGAAAATATCCTGATTGCTATAAAACTGATATTATATATTGCTATAGAATAAAGATATAGCAAGTTCACAAGCACGCAGACATTTTCCACAGAAGAGTTGGTGACAGCTGTCTGTATACTTGGACATGGAGATTTATTATGCATCCATTATTTACAGTAGACTCAAACTAATAATGTTAGCTGTATAAAGAATACTGAGGAAATATTTACAATGCAATTGCTCTTCACAAAATTAACTGTAACTGAAAGTGCTACACACTGAATTACAAAGTAAATCCTTTGGAAAACATCCCTCCCGTGTAATTTATATCATAGAAAAAGTGGTTTATATTTCTTCATAAATATTACATTTATGCTACAATGGATGAAGAACATTCAAGCAGCTGTCAAAGGGAGAAGAGTCAATCTTAATGGGTTAGGGTTTTATTCAAGTAACTTCTACTCAGGGTAGACCCAGTACAATTAATGGTCATTACTAACTTAGGCCTATTAATCATCATAATCTTCATCATTTGTATGCCATCTTTCATTAGCTAAAACAATGCTCAAGGAGGCTTACAACACAAAAAGATATACATATTTACAATATAAACAAAAGTTGTCATAAGCAAGAAATAAAACATATCATGATGCGTGCAACTTGGTCAAATTCTATTACAATGGTACCTCGGGTTACAGACGCTTCAGGTTACAGATGCTTCAGGTTACAGACTCCGCTAACCCAGAAATAGTACCTTGGGTTAAGAAGTTTGCTTCAGGATGAGAACAGAAATCGCACGACAGCGGCGCGGCGGCAGCTGGAGGCCCCATTAGCTAAAGTGGTACCTCAGGTTAAGAACAGTTTCAGGTTAAGAACGGACCTCCAGAGGGGGCCACTAGGGGGCGCATTGGAAGATGGCCGACAATACCATCTCTCCGACCCACACGGGGTAATTAAGAGGCTGTTATGGGAGTAGGCAGCCTGCTTTGTTGGGGAACACTGCCCTTGCCTGCTGTGCCCATAAATCACCCCCTAATTCGAAAGAAGGGGGTGAGGGCCCTAGGCAGAATGCCCCCTGTGGACATCGGCTCTCCTGGACGCTGTCTCTGATCGCGCACTAGTTGCAGCAATTTGGAATAATTAATTACAAAAGAAGCAAATGCACATATTTCAAGTGAAGAAGGGGAGTGAAGTCTGCTAATTTAAGTGACCTCTGCGAAAGAAGACGACAGGCTGGAGAAACAGGAATATTTTACGATGAAGATACACCAAAGGCGGGGTATGTTGACAACGGGGCTGAATGGGGGGGAATGTGATTTACAAGAACCCCTCCTCATTAGAACCGTCGGTTGAACTGACCCAAGCAGGATGATTAAGGTCTGTGTGGAGATAAACTTTAACCAAAAGTATGCTTTATGGAGACTGAGAAGCAATAAGAGCTTTTGGGAATGGCGCAGCAATTAATTCGGAGTCACCATCTTGCCAAAGGATTTACAGCCGGGAGGAAGAACAGATTTGTTTTCAGACTGCATTCCTAGTGAATCTCCTCAGAGGTTTTGAGAAAGGAGGCAGATTGGTGAAGATTAATGACGCTAAGACTGTTTTGATGTATGGAAGTGATGTTATATGGAAAACGTCTGGATATGGCTACTGGATTAAAAAAAAAATATCCACGCAGGATTACAAACTGTTCTAACCAGCTTGCAGAGACTATCAGAGGTCACAAAGAGAAAGGAAAAATATATGAAAATAATAACAAGAGATGTGGAAAAATAATAAGAAAGGACTGGATAGTACTGTGAACATCATGTTGGGATACTGCCAGGGAGATAAAGTCCATCATGGCCCCCAAGCCGGCTGCTGGACGATCCATCGATCTCCCGTAGACACGCAGTATCAGCAATTAGCGACATGAGCTCCAGAACATTCTAGAGCCGATGCACACTCTTTATCAGCAGATAATGCACAGCCAAAAGTTGCACTCAGGAGAGCATTATTTACAAGTTTATTCAGCGTTGATCAGAACACAGGAAAACATGACTGCCTGCTTTAGTGTCTACGACACAGAGAGAGAAAACGAAAGCAACAGAAAACATAAACATCCTGTGAACAGGAAATACGCAGACTCTGTGACTCACAGCCTCCTCCCTTTTAAGGTGGAACGGAAATATCCTAACACATCATAAGGTTAGATTTGTGGACAGTAAGAAGCAAGAAGTTGATTGGATCCCTTCGGAACTTGAAATATGGGTACCCCCAACAAAAATTTAAAATTCGGCTGTGTAATTTGGAATTTATGTAATTTGGTTTGATTTGATGTGATTGGTCGGTTAATAAAAAAATATTCTTAAAAAAAAAAAAGAACGGACCTCCAGAACGAATTAAGTTCTTAACCCGACGTACCACTGTATTTGGGTAGGAGTCAACTAAGTTCCACCCACTGAAATTAATGAACATGACTAAGTTAGGTTCATTAATTTTAATAGGTCTACTCTGAGTAAAACTTTGTTGAGTACCACCTTTTGTTTTGCTTGTTGCAAGATGTAGGATTTTGCTCAAAAGGGTCCGACTTCATAATTCATCTGATTTCCCACTACTATTTATGATCATGATTTAAACCAGGCAAAAAGTTATGTGAATTAGCTGTAAGCTAATTTAGAATGTAAAAAACAGTTGGTTTTGAGGACTTCTCCTGAAAGTTCAAAGGACATTTGTGAAATTCATATTCTGAGTCCCCTGCAATGCACAATAATGTGATACTGAATGATGACAACAGCTGCTTCCTCTGTTTTTGAGCAGATGGTTCCTTGAGTCCTTAGAACATTGAAGGCCAAACCTTTCCCTGAGGCTGGTGTTTGTGGGAGAAGCAATGGTCTTGTCTGCTCAACATTAATCATGAGGGCACACCAATGGAAATATTACTTTGTTCGTTCAAACAAAAAAGCAGGGCAGATCTACCACCCTTTGCTTTGAATTTTTTTACATTTCAGTTACAGAATTCTGCTCCTGTCTTGACCCTATAGTGTGGTGAATGGGGTAGTTTTGTGCCCCATTCCAAGGACAAAACAAGGCGTTGGGGTTGGTTGAACTAAGCTTGAGCAGGGCAGCCAATAAAGCTAAAAGGCCAATCACCCCATGTCATTCTTCAGACATTCAAAACCCCTCCATACCTTCCTGTCCAGCTGTACCAGATTTAAAAATCAGCCCCCCAATGGGAGGCTGCGCAGGGACAGGGAGAGCTATTTTCAGCAGGTAATGGCTCCTTGCATGCTGTGCTCCTGATAGCAACTGCCCTCTACATTTGTAATTAAAGAAAATACACAGATTCACCCTTTACATTAAGTGTAACTTGTAGCTTGGTTCTTAAGAAAGCGAAGATGTCTCCCTTGCCCTGTCTCTTAAGGCTCCAGAGGAAAGGGCATCAGAACCTTCTTGGAGGTCTGCCACATTCACCCACCCAAAACTTAGAGGACTGGAGTTCACGATCAGTGCAGGATTCCCTTGGCATATTATTGGATGCACAGGCCATGAGCAGGAAGGTGCACCTGCCAGTGCTGAGCTGAAAGTTCTCATATGAGATATTACAGCCAAATTTAGTGGGGTTGAAGCAAAACTGCCTCCACATTTCAGGGTGCAAATTTCAGTTACACAGATTTTGGTGGAACTTAAGTAAAGGTAAAGGGACCCCTGACCATTAGGTCCAGTTGTGGCCAACTCTGGGGTTGGGGCACTCATCTCGCTTTACTGGCTGAGGGAGCCGGCATACAGCTTCCGGGTCATGTGGCCAGCATGACTAAGCAGCTTCTGGAGAACCAGAGCAGCGCACGGAAACGCCGTTTACCTTCCCGCCAGAGCAGTACCTATTTATCTACTTGCACTTTGACGTGCTTTCAAACTGCTAGGTTGGCAGGAGCAGGGACCTAGCAAGGGGAGCTCACCCCGTCGCGGGGATTCGAACCTCTGACCTTCTGATTGGCAAGTCCTAGGCTCTGTGGTTTAACCCACAGTGCCACCCACATCCCTTTTGGTGAAACTTACTGATACATAAATCACAGCATGAGTAGCCTTCATGAATTACTGGTAGTTAAATGGATGTAACACACTGGCTTTACAAGCTCTGGCCAGGATCCCGACATGGGAGCATGTACGTGTGTGAGAGCATCACAGCCGGTACTGTTGGAGTTTTTCTTCCTCAATTCACTGTGGGTAACTGTCCTGACTTCGGACATGAGAAAGGCACAAATCACTGTTCAGTGCCAATAGTAGCCAGTCCCTTCTAGAGCAGGAACTGCGAAATAAAGGAGACAGTACCATTTCAGCAGTGGCTATGGTAAGTCTCCCACATGCATATAGTTGTTTGGCTCAAGCCCCAAGACCTAGATTTTGCTGTGGTCTGAATCTGTCATCATCCCTGACCATTGGGCATGCCTGACTGGAGCTGGAGTATAATGACATCTAGAGGTTCACAGCTTCCTTACCCCCCACCCAATGTTATTTCTGGACACACAACAGCAGTCAGACATCTGAATTGCACTGAAATCATAGCTGTTAAAAAGTTTTCCTACAAAAGTCCCCTCTGAAAACCACAGGACTTCATGTAATTCGTTGTAGTAGGAGTATGAGCCCAAATGTCTCGTACAAAGGACTGATTAAAACAGCATTAGACTTCTTACTTTGTGATTGTTGTTTTTTAATTGGAGAATGCTAGTTGTTATCTCCAGCTGCCCTTTTCAGCCACTGCCAGTGGTAAATATCAGCATCGATTGGTTGAAAACCTGTTAATTCTCCAAATCGATACTTCATTCACCCCAGGAATTTACTTGCTGCTATTCATTTAAATAAATGTCACTCAAGCCTTACTTTGAAAAGATCTGGAGAATGCTGCAATGCTAAGGAAATACTACTAGGAGAAACTCCTCCAGACTTTCACTTTATGCTGTACACATAGCAGGAAAGGGATTGCAGTCTCTGTAAGTTACAACTACAGAACAGCAGCTAACATCTGCTCTATGGATTATACATAAGAGTATTTGCCAGCTGAGATTTGGAAGTACTCTGTATTTTAAAACAAATGCTATATACTTAGATATTTAGTGTGCGCACACACACCATCCCAGGAGGTTAGCATGTGTAATAATACAAACCACAAATGATATGTATCAACTATGAAATCAAATATGAATGAAATATAAATTATGAACTAAAGCCACCCAGTGCCATTGTAAAACCCACCACAATTGTGTGTGGTTATTTAAATGCCATTTCCCTCCCACCCCACAGAGATATCTTGTTTGCATCCATTACATTATTTACATGTACACCAACTCAGAATCTATTTACTGTGCAGCGCAGAAGGAAAGCTTCATAAACCATAGCAGTGTAAAGAAAAAAAAACCTATATGGAGATCTTTTAAGCAAAAAGATGTCAACTTACATGAATGCTGAACAAATAATGGGTCACGTCATACTTTCATACTTAGAAAGAAGGCCATAAGGTCTGACCTACTAATGCCAATTCTAGTATTAGTATTTTTAAAGAACCAAAAGCACTCTGGTTTTGACAAGCAAAGAAATCTACTTTACAGAATTAAGCACTGAATTTAGTTCATGCATTACATATGAATTAGAATATGCACTAGGACAAATTGGCTAAAGTAGGGTGCAATTTCCATCACCTATGATTGTTAAGAGCAGATTTGAGCAGCTTTTCCTTGGATTGGTTCAATTTACTGATCAGTCCCTCTGTCCTGAGAACCAAGTTCATTTTGCCATGTATTCAAAGATAACCATAAGTCAAAATGAAGGTGGATTGTTATTTAATAAAAATAGCTTTAGGTACAGTTCTAACTTCAGATAGGGAATTGGGCTTGATATCGCATGGATTTCTCTTTCTACTCAATGCTGTGGTGCTACTGTTGTGGCAAGTACTACTAACATCAGGTACTCCCCTCCTTCCTCCCACTGGACCCAGATGTGTCTCCTGGGATGTTGCTTTGTAACTGGGCCAAACCAATGCAATTTAACTATCTTAAATTGCCCAAAATGCAATGCTGTCATGACCCAAGCCTCTGACTTCTCAACCTCAGGGGGAAGGGGGCATGGATTAAACCTGGGCCCTGCTTCTTTAGAAGTTCCAGCACCAGCACCAGAGAAGTCCATAATGCCAGATCCTCTCTGACCTAAAGAGGTCATATTACTTTCTTCAGACTATGAAGATTCCAGCTTAGAGACTGTAACAGAACCACAGTCATCCACTCACTGCTGAAGTTAGAGCCATTTGGTGTTCTCCATGATGCTACCTACTCTGATTGTCTTTTGGATGCTGACCTCTGCCTTGCTGGTTTGGACTTTCCTTTGGCTTTATGTGACCTTGCATTGCTGGAACTTGACCCTTGCTCAGCATGATTCTGTTTCCTGGATCTGGAACTTGCACTAAAAGAATACAACCTATTGTCTTTGGACTCTGCCCAGCTCAAGTCCCTATTTGAACCTGAGCGGTCCCCAGCTGGGACCACTACCTGGGACAGAACAAATGGCTGATGTCAGTACCAAGCATTGCGTTTTGAGCAATGCAAGATGGTGGTTAGCCACTGTGTTTAAGAATTGAGCACTGATTCTGTTTCCACTCAGAAGTGCTACTGTCACTGCCACCACCGTTCGGGGCTACTTCCAAGGGGAGGTGAATACCTGCTGATGTCAGCATCAGGTGACAACCTTCAATGCAGTGCTGATAACAACAGCAGCAACACCAAACAGAAGCTCTGGTAACAGTGGCAGGAGTTTGAGCTCTGGGGTGTTGTCAGGTGGCTGACACCTTCAAGGCCTGGCATGAACTTTTGCTCTGAATCTGTGTAAAGTTGATGCTTGCACTTGCAGCAAAGAAAAACAAAGATGGGTAGAATAATCAGGTTCTGGCTTGATCAGATGCTGACAAGCAGAGGCGTAGGAAGGTCAGGTGGTACCCAGTGTGGAAAATTTCTTGCCACACACACCCCCACACATTGATTATATTTTTTGCCTGCAAAAATGGTTTTATGTTATTTTATATGGATTCTGAGCCTCTGATAACAAGTAGGCAACTATGGACAGATACTTAAATCTACAGGATGGATTGTGTTTTGGCTTGTGTTGTTTTATTTATATTTATTTATTGTTTATTTATTTAATAAAATTTAAACCACCTGCAAAGTGGTTTACCAAAACAAAAAACAAAAAAACCACAGCAGTAAAATCAAGAAAAATTAACAATCCTACTTTAAAACAAACAAAAGCTAAAATATTAAGATTAAAATTACTTCAACTTCCTAAGCATCTAGGTATGCTTGCCCAAAGAAGAATGCTTTTAGCAGGTGCCCGAAAAGAGTCTAGCAAAGGCACATGCTTTGTTGAAATTTCAGCCTTCACGACATAGGAAAACGGCCAAGTAAACAGCTATTTTCGTGGAGGAGGGTCAAGATATTAACAGATATGTATGAAATTTCATATGTAGCTATATAATCTGTAGTGTAGTAAGTTAAGAACTTTGGAGCAGGCATTTTCAAAAAAAGTTTTTTATGAACCACCCTAGTAGGGCAGTAATTGTTCCTTGATTATTTGTCACCCTCCTCCATGATGGTACCTAGGGCAACCCGCCCCCCACTTTCCTACACCCCTGCTGACAAGTTGAAATTTGAACCAAACTCAGAAAGAGCATGTGGAGTTGAGATGAAGTTGGGAGAAACCAATTTTTTTGAAGCTTAGTAGATGGGAAATGTTAGTATAAGGAGAAAAGGGGAATAGAAAAAGGAGGGGAAAGCAGATGTCAATTGAGTTATGAACATCTAACATAATTTGCTACAGTTTTGTCAATTAAAGATTAGACCTTGAAGAGGAACTCCCTGGACAACAGGGCAGGTTCGCGTGTTCAGTTGCTGAAGCCACAGCTTGAACTGACCAGAAAAGGCCTAATATTTGCTTTTGCCTGAAAAACTGGCCTTCCCCTTTTGCTGAAGGTGTAACATTAGGTTGCAGTGAACCATCTTTGATTGGTATAATTATATCTTCTGTTGTGGTTGAAGCCATTCAGGCATTTGTTTTGAAGTGCCTGGTAGACTTGTGGGCATTCGTAATTGCATTTGTAATCAATAAAACTGAGCTGTATCTTTTCATTTTGTGGTCTAGATTTCTGTTTATAATTACAAGGTCAGTATATAACCCTTGTTAATGCTGACCTGCATCACATGAGCCTGTGTCAATGCTTGCACTCTGACACCAGCGCTGTGTATTTTATTGGTGAAATGCAGTATGTGGTCAGAATTCCACGAGATACTGCTATAAATAGCACATGTTTCTAGCTGTTCAATAATATTGTATTCTTTTCTATTGTATTATTATGGCTAAAGCCTTTATCCCACTTATATGACTGCAGACTCTCATTCCTTTCACTCATTCTAGCCTGATTGGTGAGATGGAATCCACAGTTAGATACAAGGAGAATCAGTCGAGTCTGCAACTGGGTCATCTCTATGGCTGCACACAAACCTTACATTTAAAGCTCATCTCCGCTACCAAACAAGGAACCCTAGGTTCTGTCATTTACCTTACACAGAGCTACAATTCCCAGCATCCTTCACAAACTACAGTTCCCATGATACTTTTAGGGAACTGCTTTAACTGTATAAACTTTTAAGTGCATATATTTTACAGCAGGTCTGCACAGTTTGTAAGTCACCAAGCCCAAAGAGAAACTTTTAAAACCCTGTGGTGAGCTTTATATGTGATTGGTGGACTGCATTCAGATTTGTGGGTCAAACATTTTGCAAACATTGCCTTCTGTGATCAGAGATCAATATCACCATCACAACTACCAGTGCTTTGTTGGCTGAAAAAAAATGTAGTGCCTATACAAAATGGTTGATCACTACCATAAATGTTTACCTACCAATGGCCTTTTATTATTTACGTCCAAATCATGCCATAAATATTTCAAGGCATAGTCTGAAGATACAGATACATCAGAAGACACAGATGCTTGTCTGGATCTGAATGGGATATCACCACTGAACCCTGTACATGTCGCCTTGAGCTTCATGATGAAAGAAAGTTGGGATAGAAAAGTAATACAGTAAAGAGATGACTGTTTGGAAGGTAAACTCTAATATGATTTCATAGCTTCTTTTGAATAACTACAGGCCATTCTACAGCTGTGGGTTGTGTGCAATGAAGTTCTACTCAGAGCAGAGCCACTGAAATTAATGGAACTAAGTTAGTCATATTAATTAATTTCAATGGTTTTGCTCTTAGTATGATGGACATTGGATCCAACCCTTTGATTTTATAGCTGGCCATGATGTCCATATCAACTGAACTACTGAGAATACCAAAGCATACTCCATAAATCCGATTACTCTTCCATGCAATACAAATTCATAACCAACATTTGCTAAACCTCCTTGTCCAGATTTAATTTACAAATTTCACTTTCGCTATTTATATTATCATCTATGAATGAAACACATCTGTGGTGTTACACACATCCTTGGGATGAGACATACCATCTTTCCAGGTCTGATCACACCTCTGCTGGCTCCTCAGTAGTTTTCCTCCTGGCAACTATTATCACCTCAGCAAGCTTGAGAAAGTTGTATTTCAGCTAGTTTCCTCCATTTTCTCCTAGCAGGAATACAACACAGTCAATGTTTGCTGAGAAGTATGTCTGGCATGCCATGTTGGGAGGAGTGGTGGATGAATAGCAGATTCCCTTGACTGATTGCTTCCTTATGTCATAAATAATGCTTTACATGCCTAGAATTTGTGGGTCTCTGAATTCATCACTTTCTAAAATGTCATTCAAAGTTAAGAGTAGATTACAAAAGCATAAACAGACCAGTTCAGAAAGAAAGAGAGATGCAGCTTCCAAGTAAAGTCATGATAAATAACGGTTTCACAGGTCTTGAAGAAAGTGAATCATTTCCAGTTTTCACTCAGTATAACTTTTTCACACTGAGAAAAGATAACTTTAAGAGGTGAAAAATGGTCCTTTTCACATGTGAACACTGAAAAGGGTTGGGGAAAATCCTTCACCATTTCATACCAACACTTTCAAATCGTACTCACGTAATATAAAATTACTCCCTGCCTATTAACACACATAGGTCAAAGGTCTGAATCAATGAGGTTACAACCCTTTATATATTTACAGTGGTACCTCGGGTTAAGTACTTAATTCATTCGGGGGTCTGTTCTTAACCTGAAACTGTTCTTAACAGTTACCACTGTAGTTTAGGTACCACTGTAGTTCCTAAATATGGCTATTTTTCCTCTTCTTTATTTATTCATCCACATGTTACAACAATTATCTGCCAGTGTGGTGTAGTGGTTAAGAGCGGTGGACTCATAATCTGGTGAACCGGGTTTGATTCCCCGCTCCTCCACATGCAGCTGCTGGGTGACCTTGGGCTAGTCACATTTCTTTGAAGTCTCTCAGCCCCACTCACCTCACAGAGTGTTTGTTGTGGGGGAGGAAGGGAAAGGAGAATGTTAGCCACTTTGAGACTCCTTCGGGTAGTGATAAAGCGGGATATCAAATCCAAACTCTTCTAATTTGCATTGATTCCACTGGGTCAGGAGGAAATAATTAAGATCAGGAATTTTTTTAGGTGCCTCTGCTGATTATATATATATATATGTCTAATTCCTTTACTTGCAGCAATTACAATATTTTGAAAGCTACCTGTGTTTCTCAGATAATTTAACAAGCATGCCATTATTATATTTCCTTACAAGTGTAATTGCAATCATTTTAATTATATTTAATTATAATTCTACACATTTTAAACTCCAAAATATCAAGTGATTTTGAAATTATAAATAATTTAATTATGCCATTAAATCTGACTGCTTTATTGCACTGGGTTCATTATTGAGCAACTGCAGCAGCTGAGTAGCTAAGGTGTCCTGTACTTTCGTAGTGCAACCATGCACATACATGCCTCCTCAGAAATAAGCTGCAACGAAATAGATTGGGGCTATAACATTCTATCATTATAAAGCAGGGGTCAGCAAACTTTTTCAGCAGGGGGCCGGTCCACTGTCCCTCAGACCTTGTGGGGGGGCGGCCTTTTGGGGGGGGAGGGGGAAATGAACGAATTCCTATGCCCCACAAATAACCCAGAGATGCATTTTAAATAAAAACACACATTCTACTCATGTAAAAAACACCAAGGAGACCCCACAAATAAAAGGACACATTCTACTCAGGTAAAAACACGCTGATTCCCGGACTGTCCATGGGCCGGATTTAGAAGGCGATTGGGCCAGATCCGATGTTATAAAGCATAGATTTGATTCCATGCAAAGCTGATAGAATTGTGGCAATAGTGAAAAAGGGATAGCAAAAAGTAAACTTTCCTACCTTTACAGTGCATAATTATGGGAGTGACGATTATAGCACTGGTGTGTGTGCCACAGTTTGCGGTTTAAAGAATGCAAAGTAGAAGAACTTGATCCTGCACACGTAGTATTTGATAGTGTGCATGTTGAGAGATCAAACATGGATTCTAGTCCCTGCCACTTCTCTCCTGTCTGAGTGCATTAATTACAGGACTTTGGGGAAAGAAAATGTTCCAGGAAGCATGAAAAGAAACTAATGTACCAGATTTGATTAGTTATCAGGACAGAGATGCCACCTACTTTGGCTCGTTAATTGGAATATGTCTTGAGTTTGTCTGCTGGATGTTTTAAACTTCAGTGTAAGTGTTTTGTCAGTTTCAAAAATGTATCTTGTTAAATCATTACCTGGCTAGCAATTACTTCAGCACTTCATGTACAACAAAAGAGGGTGGTATTTATTTATTTTAATAAGGTGGATACAGTTAATGGAAATATAGAGAACACAATCTTTTGAAGAAAAACATTATGCCATACCTGTTGACCTAATAGTGAATGTATTGAGTAGAGTCAATTTTATATACACTGATGATTTATTTATTTATTTTGCAGCAAACCATTTACACAAAGCAGTGATGATGAACCTTTGTGCCCCCCAAGCAAAGAGATATTTCAAAGCTTAGCCCCCCCTCCAGGCATTAAATGTGCCCAGCTTCCCCCTGGCACCGGCAGAAATGAATTTTTCCCCCTGTCAGCAAAGCATTATGTTCTGCAAGCATAAGGGGCTATAGGAGTGGTTTTATCTCAGCAAGTGGTTGTAACTCAACAGCAGGAGGCTTTGATGCTAAGGACACTGTCATTGAAGTATACAGTGTATTTAGGACACTTAAAATAAGTGTAGAATTACCAACTCTAATTAAATTATGTTATTACCCACCTCAATTACAGCAGTTAAAATCTATGGCAATATATATTCAACATTTAAATACTAAATTATAGTGATTTATGGTTGTTTTGCGTTACAACAATAGTAGGTAGAATATGATAACAACAAATATGAGTCATGAGTTGGATCCTGCAGTTCATACGCAGGCAATATACTCATTGATCTCAACAGGATACTTGCTTGCGTAAAAGCTACAGGATCAAACTCATTATGAACAGTGAGTCACCCCAGGATTGTAAAACCAATCAGTATATAAGAAGGAAAGGATATTCAAAAACTATTTTTCATATCAGAATATTTCTAGTGGATGCATAGAGCATTTCTTGATATGATGCCAACTTGACAAAATGTTGCAAGCTGACAAACAACTTATCAGTTCCATATAGAGATAGGCGATTTCTCCTTGGGTTAACTTGGAAATGATCCAAGTTTCCTTGAAAAAAATATTAAGGAGTATCATTTTTTTCCTGAGCCAATATGAGTGGCACAATGGGTCAGTGCATCTGCCTGTTAACCAGAAGGTTGGTGGTTTGAGTCCAGTCATGGACAGCTTTGGGCAGGATTCTTGCATGGCAGGAGGTTGAACTAGATGACGCTAGGTGAATATGATGAATATAAGAATAGGCACACACAAACAAAACAGACAACTGAGAAATGTACCATGTAATTCTGCACACTCTCTAATGAGAATGGAGATTGCATTTTTCCCTGAATTACTTTACAAATATTTTAGAACCTGTTATATCATTAAGCATCTAACAGCTTGCTGAGTTAAATCAGATTTGTAAAGTCATCATCTTAAATTTATAATTGCCAAAACCTGCTACTGTTGCACCACAAAATTAAGAAAATGTAAGTAGTTGCTTGCAGATTGTCAGTACTTCTAATGTAATTTTAGAAATATAACTTTTAAAATACCAAATTCTATCAGGATAGCCATGTTAACAGCAAAACAACAGAATGTTTAAGTTGCTACAGGACTGTTCTTCTTCTTAATATAACAGCACACTTATAAGACATCAAAAAATCAATGATAATATGTGATTGATTACCTTGCAGTTCTTTTGTGTGACTATCCAAAGGAAATAATTTGCTTACAGTGCCATTGTGCTTGGTTGCTGCTTATGCCTTCACTTCTTGCTAAGCGGTTCCCACTGCTAAGACAGAAAGCAAGTGTAGAATAGGGTTTCCAGGGACAGTCCCCAGATTTGCAAATCTGTCCCTGGACAAATTCCATCCCCAGAATGTCCCCAGATTTGCAAATCTGTCCCCAGGAAACGTGGCAGTGGCAGCCTCAGCAGCCTGGTAGCGCAGTTGGCTCTGGCTGGCTTCAGGAGCTGCTCGCTGCCACCGCCACGACCAAAGGGGAACCAGGGACATCTGGCGGTACAGATCTCCTTCCCCCTTCGCCCTTTGTTTTGACAGATCGGGGCAGGCTCGGGAGTCATGCGTGGGCAGGCGCTGCTCAAGAGGGGTACAAGATGCATGGTTTCTCTGCAAGGCAAGGTGCAAAGCCCTTCTTTTGCACCCTGTGAAACATAAACGAGCAGAGGTTTTTTTAAAAAAAAATTGGCAACAGCTGCCCACCCATGATTCCCAAGCCTCCCCCAATCTGTCAAAACAAAGGGGGCAGGGGGCAGGAGATCGGAGGAGGCTCAGGAGTTACGGGTAGGTGGCTGTTGCCCAGTTTTTAAAAAAATCTGTGCATTTATGTTTCACAGGGTGCAAAAGAAGGGCTTTGCACCTTTTTACAATATGCATGTGTGCTTGGGCCCAGGGTCTTTTGCCTCACCATCCCCACTACTGACTCCCTGTTGCTACTCAGCTTAAAAAAAAAGTGTCACTGGATTCATTGAAAAAAATCTGCTAACCATAGTGTAGAACTCAGGGCCTAACCACATGTTAATTGTGTGGTTTGCAGTTCATGTCAGGAGATTTAAATAATCTAATCCTAGACGCCCACACCCAACCCCCAATTTCCATCAGGAGTGTAGTTCAGAGGGAACATTTTTCTATTATTAATTACAGTAAGAGAAGGGGGATTTCCTCTGGGAGCGTGTCTGGGTAGGGTGGCCATTTATAATCACCCCCAGAGGAAGACAGCCTGCATAAATTGAATATAGTAATGTATGTGATGTCTCCTCCCACTCCTCTCCTGGCCATATGTTTTATTAGGGTCTTTTTATTATTATTTAAAAAACCATAATTAAATGTTAGCCCTGCCCCAACATAATTTGGAAGAAATTGGCCATGAGTGGGTTGGCTGGTGTCCTTCCAGATTTCAGCCGCAGGCTGGATCAAGGGGCTGTGCACAACCCTAGCCAGTTTGTTCAGCCTTGATGTTAATGTCTCATGGACTGGAAAACACAACTTTCTTCACTTATTGATATATGGCTGTCGATTTATTTTAGATTGACATGAACTGTGATCCTGCAACCTGGCAGGATTGGCAGGGGAGAAGGAAAGGGCTCTCCCTTACACTTCCTGCAAATGCATTAACATTAATGATAATATACTATTCCTATTTTTTATGCTCAGCCTATGGTACACATGGGTTTGTCAAATTTTATAAAAATTTAATGGAGACACCATAAAATATTGATAGTACCACAGAAAGCCCCCAAGACCAACATGTTTAATTAATCAGGCATTCAAATAAATAGATAAAGCCACATTAAGATAAATTTAGATAAAACCACGTTTACAGAAGAACATGGTAGAAGTCATCACGGACCCAGATAATGAACAGACTATATTTTTAAATGATGGGTGTTTTACTGCAGCATATATACAAGACTGTGTCTGTATACAGAAAGCTCAGTTCACCCTTTAATATGAAAACTGCTGCCACTGTTGCACAATATATGAACATGTCATACAATCAGACACTCATATACTTTTAAAATGCTTGATACCAAAAGAAGTTGAGGTTTATCTTTAAAAGAATGGCAGATTCCTCTCTAACATTAATAAAACTTGCAGTTTTCTGTTACACATTTTCATAGGTTTATTAGTTTATGTAATATTTCCTTATAAAATTTGCATGTGGAAATGTGGAAGACATTCTAAATAAACATGCCTGCGTGAATTTTTCAAATAAATCAAGTTACTATGTAGACTGAAATGTCAATTTGTTTTTGTTTGAGATTACTTTCCATTTCTGTTTCTTTCTCTGCTATACATGTATGTTTGTATACAAAATTTGTCTCTTTAAAATCTGGCTATAATTGGAGTAGGTGTGAGGATGCTATTAATTCCACACTTAAATGCTGCTGTCCAGTTTCAAAGATTCAAATTTTTTCATCTTGTGACCTCAAGAAATGAAAGTGGTGTTTAAGCACCATCATACTTTAAGCATGATCATATTTTTCTACTTCTGATTTTTCTGCACTGGTTACTTTTTCCATGTTGCATTCAGTATAAGCATATGCTATTACTTAAAATGTTTCATACTTTTGTTCTTACTTATTTTTCATCTTTGGTCTCTACATATTTGCCTTCTTGAACTTTGTTTCTGCTGTTTCTTTGGTTGCATTCAGACATAACTCTAAACTATGATTTATTATTACAATAAGAGGTTTAGCCCGCCCGCCCTGGGCTTATACATTCTCCCCTCCCCTCTTTCAACATAGCTGCAAGTAGATTGAAGTTTCTGCTTCTAGTTTAGATTAACCACAGTTTAGCGGTTGTCTAATCCCTAAACTGTAGTTAATGTCAACTGTGGTTAGTGAAAATTCATTTAAAATGCTTTGAAACTGGCTTGTTGATGAAGTGAAGGACATGAGGCAGGAGTTGATAATGCAGGTGAGCTGTACACAAGCAAGCTGCCAGCTAGCTCTGTGGATGCTCCTTTTATTGACACAAAATGCAAACCCAGGCAGATACATTTTGGGCTGTGACCTTTACACATCTTCCAGTCCCGAGACTGTGGGGTGGTACAAAGTTATTTTGGCATCTGTTTCCACCTCATCATTTTCCCATTCCACAATGTATGACGAAAGAGACAAAGGTCTCAGAGACAAAGGTCACAGACAGGACACAGCAGACTACTGAGACCGCAAAAGGTTAGACAGAGGGCAAGATGTTCAGACAGCTGTGGGCTTATCTGTGAGGGGGAGTGTGCTCCGCTCCGCACCCCAAGGTGCACACAGCTGAGGCTGTCCGCGGGCGGGAGTGTGCTCCACAACCCAGCGATCATTCTTGCAGTTTCCATTAACCGTAGTTGAGATTGATCAATTTGTCCATCTATGGAAAACACAGGAAGCTGTGGTTGTTTAATAATAATAATAATAATAATAATAATAATAATAATAATAATATTAAAAACCAACCCCAGGAGCAAAATCTTCCATGTTGGAAGAGAGGGGAAAGCCTGGGTTGAAGTTAGACTTACTCTTGCAACACTAATTTACTGTATGTTTGTACATTATATCCAATCCAGACCTCTCCTTTTGTTTCTTCTACTTCCTCTTATTGCTCTGTATTCATTGAATTTGTAGCCAGCTGATATTTGTTTAGCTAGTTCTCTTCAATTGCTTGAAAAATTCCTCATCTATTTATGCTAAGCCTATACTGAAGCTGCTGTTGTTTAATTTAGCATTAATCTTATCATCATCTGGTTTTTAATTATTTTTCATTTTCTTCTTGTCTAGAAGACTACAAGCCTCTCTGGGTAGCAGATTACAACAAGATCTAAGATATAATTGAAAGGTTTTTGAGAACAGCGTACACAAAATCACAAGCTTATTGGCTGTGAGTCCTGGATGACGTGCTTCCCGCCTTGCAGGCCTTTTCTACCTGGTCTGGGGCCCTTATTGACTCCAGCTACCAAAGCTGAGGCTTCCGAACAAACTCTTTGGCTAAGGTATTGTTTGGGGGTTTTGTTGGGGTTTCCTTTTTGCTGTTATTGATATTATTGTTTTGTGTCTTTTAAAATATGTGGATTTAGGTGGAAATGTTTCATTTTGATGTTTTATTTATTCTTTATGACTACTCTTGTTAAATTTTGAATTAAGTCCCCTCCCCATGTTGTAAGCGGCCTTGAACATGGATTTAACTATGGAAAGGTGGCTTACAAATAATATTTTGTAAGGATGGATAGATAGCAATTCAACAGAAGCCATCAAGATAACTCTGGTTTGCAAGTTGCTGTGCGAGAATTGCACATTGTATCTTATTTAACCTTTTGTTTCCCTTAATCCCAACAACATGTGAACTTGTGCAGTGGTGGAGGAAATTAGAATTGGTCAATTAATGTCAAAAATCGATATTTGAGGTCTAAAACTTCATTGTAAACAGCTTTATTTTATTTTAGTTTTGCTTGCCTGTGTCCTATACAAGCCATTTCCTTTGTGGATTAACAGACGTCACCCCTTTCCTGTTTTCCATTGTGAGCTAGTGTGTGTGTATGCATGTTCAGTTTCCTGTGGAAGAATCTTCTCTCCCGTAGGGACTCAGGTCACGTATTAACATAAAGGGCAGTGACTTCCCTACTTGCTGTGGTCAACAGGGATTTGCTCATGTCCAAACCTGGGTTGATTCTTTCCTCTTCAGCTAAGCCATTTCTTATTTTTAAAAGGCAGAGACAGGAGGGATGAAAATAGAGAGAGCTCCATTATATGTCAGAGAGAAATTCAACCCCAGGCTACAGTGTCCAGAAAACCACAAATCAATTTCCTCCTCCTCCTGGTCTTTGTCGTCTAACGGCATGTGCTTGCAGCCATCTTTATCATTGAGAGAAAAGGACTGTTTTCCCCAGTATATTGATGGACTCACCTGGTCTGATAAACAATGTAGGTTAGGTATAGAAAAGTCTTGCATTGTTAGTATTTTCCTTGCAACCTTTTATTCCTATCTGTTTTTAAAAGATTCGGTGGGTGGGTGTAGCTATCCCCTCCTGCCTGCTTGTGACTAACACTGCCTTGCCCGCTAGCCCATTCAAAGAAAAAGCCAGGTGCCACCCAGTTTGTAGCTTCCTTTCCCTTCCAGCTCCAGCTGTGGGAAGAGTGGACTCAATGGAACAATGGCAACAGATGGCGGCAGCTACTGGAATAAGGCTGGGTTATGTTTCAGTGCAATTTAGGCTGCTTTCTGGCTGTCACTGTTTTGTGGGAGGGATTCAGTTGCATGCTGGCAAGTACACATTGTGCAACTGCTGTGAGTTTTGTGGTCATGTGCAGAGAATTCGTTTCCAAAAATATTAGCAAACATTTTGCAGTAATGAAAGAGACAGGATACTGCACTGGAAAGTGTGGGATAACTACATAGTATAACCTCCCCACAAAACAAATAGGAATGAATACTTAATGAATAGTAGATGCCATATAACCACCCCGAAAGTTTATGGTGGGGGGAAATCAGGTTGTTTGAAAGTGACCTTAGAGAAGGCTAGTTGCCAACTGCAGAAAATGCTGTCTGGTGGGGCTTTAGTAAACAAGACTACAATACAATCAGGCCACCATGGCTTTAAAAACAAAACAAAACAAAACATATGCATACAGACTGTTCTTCAGGCATTTCCCAAGCAGAATTAACCATGGAAAAATGGCATGCAATACATTTATACTGTTAAAATGCATCATCATCACCTGACATGAATCAGCCTATAGCCTGTGACTACTCCCTAAAGCAAAAATTATAAATACAGACCTCTCAGGCTAACATTTTAAGGAAATACTAATAGCCAGGCTTCTTCTTATCTTGTCTTTCTCTTGCTATCTTAAGCATAATTAGTAAACAAAGCGTAACTTAACAGAAAGTAACATTCTACCAACAAATCCAAACCATTATATTTTAAGAGCATTTGTTGTGATTATTTTCTTTTTTATACCTCATATTAATTATTTCACAAGACTCTCTCTTTGTCTCTCTCTGGGTGGGTGGGTGTGTGAGAGAGAGAGATTTATTGGGGCTGAATCCAGTCAGGGAGGAGATTTTTTCCACAGTGCTGTTTTCCCAGTATAAATCCACTCATCATTCCAAGCTAGGAGTTGCCCCATATTGTGCCTGTATGCTTTTCCTTCAGAAGGTAAACAGCAGCTTCAGTGGTCAATTTGGATTACGAAAATGGCACAGGGGAAAACCTTAACTCCCACCTCTCCTGTATTCCCTCTTTAAGCTTTAAGAAAATCAGATCTGCTCATAGATCTCCCATTGCCTTTTCTAGTTTGACATTTAGTATGTGCACAAATAGTGAGTTGGCTTGAAATATATAATAGCCAGTAAATTTGTTTGCTTCCATTTTCTGTATTAATATATAGCATACTGATCTGGGGTACTGTTGGGTCCAGTTTATGTCCTAGTTATGCAGTAGCAAGAAAGGACTATCACTCTTCTTTACTAAAGAAAGCTACCGACTGTAGGGTTCTGCCTCAGATCATTAATTAATACAGAAACAAAGTTGTAAATCTCAGCTAGACAATGAAACTAGAATGGGCCACATGCAGAAAGTGAAATATGCAATAAAACAGCAGGTATAAAAAGGAAATATCTGTGCTAATTAGCGTACCACTTTTGGGCCGCGGGTGGCGCTGTGGGTAAAACCTCAGCGCCTAGGACTTGCCGAACGTCAGGTCGGCGGTTTGAATCCCCACGGTGGGGTGCGCTCCCGTTGCTCGGTCCCAGTGCCTGCCAACCTAGCAGTTCGAAAGCACCCCCGGGTGAAAGTAGATAAATAGGGACCGCTTACTAGCGGGAAGGTAAACGGCGTTTCCGTGTGCTGCGCTGGCTCGCCAGATGCAGCTTGTCACGCTGGCCACGTGACCCAGAAGTGTCCTCGGACAGCGCTGGCCCCCGGCCTCTTAAGCGAGATGGGCGTGCAACCCCAGAGTCGGACACGACTGGCCCGTACGGGCAGGGGTACCTTTACCTTTACCTTTACTTTGGGCCAGCGCGTTAAATTTAAAGCACAAAGCTTTTCATAAAAAGAGGCTAAACTCAGTGGTTTGTGGATCTGGGGGGTTACTCTCCATTTGCACTATTCATATCATTGATATTTAAAGCTGTCGGGTCTCTCACTTAAAGTTAAGGTGCCACAGGATATTTTAAGAAATGTAATGCGGATGTATTCTGTGATTTACTTAGCCAATGGTTTCCTTCATTATTTCTCATTCACACTTGATTATTGGCCATGCTGGCTAGGGCAGATGGAAGTTTGAAAACATCTGTAGGCCATCACATTGGCTACTTCTGGTTTAGTCCAAGGCAATTGTTAAGACTTTGTGGGCATAATTTTACTTTATGCAATATAGGGCATAATCTGTAATTTTCAGTTTCACCAAAATGCTATCATGGTGATATTGATGCTGTTTGTTACAAAGCAGAGGAGATAAATCCTGCAGTGTTTAATTTTTGAAATTCTGATAAATAGATTGTGTGGTGGAATCTGAAAACATTGGGGATCCCACGTCTTGCGGCAAACATGCAACAAAAATCTATTCAATCTGTTGAATATGTTTGCCCAGGATTCACTTTCCTAAAACTTAACTGCTGCAAGTAGTCAGAAAAAGCAGCAGTTTTCAAATATTCACCATCATGAATTGCAAAGTGCATATTGCAAAAGAGCCCAAATTATTAACAGACATGTTGTTAATGGAGAATATCCCCCAACAAATAATATTCCAATGACTCAGAGATCAAAAGCTTTTCAATTACTAATGTGCAATTTATGATAATGCAGAGTTACTATATTTATTTGCATACTCTTCAGCCTATAAAAGTCAAACACTATGCACATTATAAATCATTTCCTGAAAGTTATTCTAGATGCAGAGACAGAAATGCCCCTTCCATTGAATCATTCCTTGAGACAGCTTCATATAAGATTATAAATGAGCCTGAATAAAAGCAGACTCCTCAAAGTAATATTTGTTCTATTCCTGGAGGTTATCACAAAGATAAACTATCCATGTCTGGTGCAAATGATATCACTTCTTGGTACTGATTTCTCTGACAGTGTATACATTTTTAAAAATGTCATGGGAAGAATGTGGAAGAAGAGCGAATCTCCTGCATGTGCTCAAAAATAGCAATGTGCTCAAGATAAGTGTTGCAGTGTGTGGGCCTAAGATTGTGACAGGAATAATGTGTAGTTTAGTATCTTTTACTAGACCACCTATAGATGCAGCAGTAAGCTTTGCAAATGTTTCCAACTTACCAGTTGGATGTTAAGGATAGTTGATGTTAAGGACAGTGTGCAGCAAAAGGTGTACAATTCTAAACAAAAGAGTATTAGAACACAGGAGGGAGCTGTCTTAGATCAAATCAGGCTATTTATTCATCAAACCTGTTTCTCTGGCAGATGGCTTCCCCATCACCAGTACAGTGGTACCTCAGGTTACATATGCTTCAGGTTACATACGCTTCAGGTTACACACTCCACTAAGCCAGAAATAGTGCTTCAGGTTAAGAACTTTGCTTCAGGATGAGAACAGAATTCTTTTTCCGGTGGCGCGGCAGCAGCAGGAGGCCCCATTAGCTAAAGTGGTGCTTCAGGTTAAGAACAGTTTCAGGTTAAGAACGGACCTCCAGAACGAATTAAGTACTTAACCCAAGGTACCACTGTAATGCCTAAACAAAAATTTGCAACATAGTCAACTAAAAATAATCAACAGGAAAGACTCTCCTTCCTGGAAGAGAGGGGAGTGGTTGTGGGCGGGAGCCCAAGCTCCGCCTCTAGCAGGGGTTAGCCCCCTGCCTCCTCCTCTCACCTGGCTGGCGCCCACGCCCCTCGGCAGGCCCCAACCAGGTGCCTCCAAGGGGGCGTTTACAGCAGCCTTTTGCTGCGGCGCCAGCCTCTCCTCGGCCTCATTCTTCGCCGTCGTCTCGTCGCGAGTCACCCACCCTCCACTCCCTTAGAGCTCAGGGTCTTAGTTCATTGGCCTTGCTATGGACCTTAGGTTGGTCGCCCTGGTTGTCCAGGGGGCCTGGTAGGAATTTTTCCATTTGGCATTAGGCTTTTTGGTTTTTTCGCCTACCTCGTAGCAATCGTCACAACTTTTGTGGTATTGGTGGGTAGGTTAGGCATTGGAATGATGTGTTGTGGTGTGTCGAAGAGCTAGGTGTGGCCATCGCCTATGCCTTCAATTTTTGGGTATTCCGTTAAAGGAATCTGGCAGTCGTGTATTCTGTCCGATGCCTGCTTGGCGGGAGGCCATGGCACGACCCTCGGTGACATCAGGGGAGAGCTTATAGTTGGATTAGCATCAACAGGCTCCACCTACTGGTGAATAAACCCCCCTTGTTTTAGACATCCAATGCCTAAGCCAATACCTTTTCACTGCTGTAATCAATAAAGTTGTGGCCTTTTCTTTCCCATTAACCTTATATCACGTGTCCTTGCGTATTCATTGCACATTGCGGGGGTCGGGTCCTCGAACCACAACTATCTGTTTTCAATCTCAACTGTGAAAGAAGTCTGCAATTTTCCTTATCATGCATCAACTAGCAGCTTTGCATATGTGGAGATATATATACACGATGCAGTCATATATACACGTTTACTCAGAAGTAAGTTCTATTGTTGCCAGTGGAGCTTATGCTTATATGCATTACATGGAGACTAAGCCTCACTAAAAACAGCAGAACATACTTCTGAGTAGACATATATATTGTTATAGATTTGGGGAGGAACCCTCCCAAACCCTAGAAATTAATAGAAGGTAGAATTTTGATTATTTGGAGTATTAAAGGGAAGATTGCAGGCCAGCAGGAAAATACAGACTTAGCTCCCTTTCCAAGCCAGTTCCTCACCTGGAACAGAGGCATTCACAGAGGCAAAAGATATTGATGGCCCATCTAAGAGGAATCCTTGGGCCTGGGCAGACAGAGGTTGCCAAGGTGATGGGCGTGTGTGTGTGAGAGAGAGAGGTGACAGGAAAAGAGTGTCTTCCGCAACGTGTGCTGGTAAGAAGGCAGAGAACAAAGGTTGAGATCCATCTTTGGCAGGCTGACTGAAGGCTGGTTGGGAGAGATGCCTTTGACTCCAAAGCTGCACTACTGTGGGGAACAAGCCCCTCTTGAAATCATAAAGCTGTAAGATCTGTACTCCCTCCATGCAGACTGAAGGTGTAAATATGTGAACAAATCATATTTCTTAAAGCTGTGGCAGTCTCCGCCGCATCTTCAATTCTCCAAAGGAGAACAGATCCTGGGTGAGTGCTTTGGCAGAGAATGGTAGTAGCACCCAACTTTTGTAAACAGATGATTACATGATTAATTCTGTTTCTACCACTAAACAGTCTGGTGGACTTACTGAACTGTAGGGATAAATCCTTCATAGGCAGCTTGCTGGATATGTGAAGAAATAAATCTAAGGCATTAAAAGGAAGTTTTGGGACCTCGCTTAGCTCAGATAGGCAATTTAATCAAAGCAATGTATTAGCATTTCTAGTTGCTAGGGAATGGCACCTCTGTACATCTGACTACAAGCTGCTGACTGAGGTGAGAGGCATATTAGGGAGAGGTTAATATGATTCCATCCATCTTTCATTAAAAGGTGAAGCTATTTGTACTCTTGTGGCCAATGACAATAATTCAGACACTGCTCTGGATGGTACCTCTCAGGCTCAGGACTTTGATGTCTCTAATTATTTGATAAATGCATGGACCAGTTAATAGCCAAGTGCCGTTTCAGTCGCTATGCAAATAAAAGTGGACACAGGTTGAGTCATTATTTAATCTGGGTGAAACATTGATATGGTCACTGATGGCTAATCTACTTTTGCAGCTAAATTTATAGTTTAATAATAATTATTCAACATTACATTATCAGGCAGCACTCTGAAAAGAAGATGCCTGATGAAAACATAAGAATAGTCCATTACATTATTTTCAGCAATTATTGTGAAATTGCTTTCAAAGCAATCATGTATTTATTAGCCTGTGCTAACAGAGACAGAGCTTTGAGATATGAAAGATTCTGACAGTCTCATCGTAAAGGATGCTTTCGATGCAGTTTGTGCTGCAAAAACTAAGCTTATTTCCTTCAAAAGGATTCTCCAACCCTCATTCAGCTTTGCTTCACTTGCCCTAGCAAAATCTGTGAGCCAATGAATAGGATATTGTGCAAAAGTTCAACAACAAATTCCATGCCTGTCTGTTCTGATAAGTTGGGGCTAAGCTATATACGTACAGCTGCTTGAGGTGAGCCTGGAGCTGGCAACTGTATAGTTGCAAAAAGAGAGAGAGGGAGAGGGAAGGAGGAGGAGGAGGAGGCAGGAATGAATGACAAAACCAGGAGACAGAATTGAAGAGCAAGCCAAGAAGTCAAGGCCAAAAGACAATTCCATCAGGGCCAAAGGACAAACCAGGAGGCAAGATGAAGGACCAATAAACAGATACAGGCACACACAAATGTTCCTGAAGTCATGTTTCTTGGGCAAGGCTGAACTAGAAGGATCCATTAGGCATCCTGAATGAGCAGAGTCAGTTCAGGGCCTGAGAGTCCGGTACTTCATTGCCTATGTAGGTGGCTGCACCCTGCAGTTTGATGCCTCGTTGAACAAGGCAGCAGCACCTAACTCCAAAGCCTATTTGAGTCTCAGCAGCTCCTGCCAGGCATCTGCACTTGAGCCATGCAGGTGAGGAGAACTTGGGGGTAGTGGCCATACTGGAACTGTGGTGGAGGTCAGGTGCTTTCACCAATGTAGGAGTGCATATGAACATCCCCATCTGAAAAAGAGGGTACAAATTTGCATATGACATAAAAGTATTGGCAAATTTTATGCAAATTTGTATCTTTTGCAGGTGCAGCAGAGGGCCCAATCCACATACTGTTTACTAAGCCCAACAAAATCCTGTAGGCACCCCAAGTAGAGCCACAATCTATGGGTGCATAGCAACAAAAAGTACCTGCCCAGAACTGTTTTCTGCCAAACTAAGACGTTTTGCAGAAATATATTAATTCTTCATGTGCTCCAAAGGAAGCCCTATGAAATACCTTCCTGCTGTTTGTCAATCGTACTGAAGTCTTTCTCAGGTAATTAACGCTGCTGGTGAACAGACAGCCTGGATGATATTGCAAAGAATTAACAGATTTTTTATTACCTTGAGGTAGAAGCTAATTCTGAATCTTTCTAAAGGGGAAGATGGACAGTGATAATGAAAGTAGCCAAAAGGAAATTTGGAGCTTATTAAGCAATTCCCTCTTCAGCAAATGCCATAGAATATCTTAATATTCACGTCAGAAAAGCAAGCAGCTTTTTGAGAAGTACTGAGTTGATCCTCTCTCAGGAGAAGCTTTCACACATTTGACCCTTTTCCATATAATAAACCACAAAATTTAGAGGGATACAGGGAGGAATAGCAATGAACCTTCTGGAAAACATATCTAGACATTCTATTTCAGAACAAAATACAATAAACAGCCTTGCTGATGCTTCTGGGAGCTCAGCCACCATGTGGCAATGCTTCTAACACAACATGAGCATGGGACTGTAAATGCTCAAGCACAGTTGGTCAAAACTGAGAACAACATTGTCAAGAAACACACTGATATTCCACAGTTTTGATCTTAGAATGACAGTTCTGATTAGTTTATAATTATGATTTTTAGCCTGCAAAATTGTTCCTTTACAAATTAACTGACAAAACAGAACCTGGGGAAGTGAGGTTCTTGTTGCATTTGATAATTCCCAGTTCCAACATCTCATCTCAGTCTTCACCTTATTCTTCTTATTTTATTAATTCATTGCTTGCAATATTTATATCGTGTTCAGCAGCGAAGGTAGTTTGTACGTCAAAGATTAAAAATCACAACAAAGGTCTGTGAAGAACTTTGATCACAAAAAGCCTCATCCAGGAAACCTTCACACAGACCAGAGCTTTGATGGACCACTGAGCTACCCCACATATATAACTTATCTGCTATGGTGATGAAAGAGCACCTTCTTTTTCCATACAAATGAATGTCCCTCTGCTCCTAATATTTAAATCTAGGAGGACATCCACTCAGTTAGAAGCTCTATACTCACTAGGGCACATACAGAGCTTTAGATCAGAGCCACCACATGCTTAATAAGTACAGTGGTACCTCGGGTTAAGTACTTAATTCATTCTGGAGGTCCGTTCTTAACCTGAAACTGTTCTTAACCTGAAGCACCACTTTAGCTAATGGGGCCTCCTGCTGCTGCCGCACCGCCGGAGCACGATTTCTGTTCTCATCCTGAAGCAAAGTTATTAACCTGAAGCACTATTTCTGGGTTAACAGAGTCTGTAACCTGAAGCGTACATAACCCGAGGTACGACTGTAGTATTATCAACTGATTGGAGAGGTGGCGTAAGGTCAAATTTATGAACTGTGACACTTCAGGCAAAAGTTATGCCCAGCATTAAAGCTGAAAGTCGTGTCTTTCCCCCTGTCTTCCTTTTGCTGGGTATTCAACTCCCCATCCCATCTCGTTTTCACCCCCACCCCCACGCTGAAGCTAGAGCCAGCCCACCCATGAGTCAGGGTGAAGCACTCACCTCAGGCAGCAGGTGGAGTAGTTTCGGCTACATAAATGTGAACACTCAGTATTAGTATGTAGGTAGCAGTGTTCCCATATTTCACCCCTCCACAAACAGCTTGAAAATTACTGATGGCCTTAGTGGACCACTTAATATTATTTTCTTCCTGTTGTAGCAATTGTAATGCTCTGTGCTAGATGCTGTATGATTTTAAATTGTACTTATATTTAAATTGTATTTAAATTGCTTATTGTTCTTATTTCTTATGTTGCATTTCTTATGTTTCTTATGTTGTGGTTCGAGGACCCGATCCCCGCGTAGTGGAATGAAAACACGAGGACACGTGATATAAGGTTAATGGGCAAGAAAAGGCCACAACTTTATTGATTACAGCAAGTGAAAAGGTATTGGCTTAGGCATTGGATTACGTCAGCTGACTCCACCCCCTCAGAGAGGGGTGAGTCTAAAACAGGGGGGTTTATTCACCAGTAGGTGGAGCCTGTTGATGCTAATCCAACTATAAGCTCTCCCCTGATGTCACCGAGGGTCGTGCCATGGCCTCCCGCCAAGCAGGCATCGGACAGAATACACGACTGCCAGATTCCTTTAACGGAATACCCAAAAATTGAAGGCATAGGCGATGGCCACACCTAGCCCTTCGACACACCACAACACATTATTCCAATGCCTAACCTACCCACCAATACCACGAAAGTTGTGACGATTGCTACGAGGTAGGCGAAAAAACCAAAAAGCCTAATGCCAAATGGAAAAATTCCTACCAGGCCCCCCCGGACAACCAGGGCGACCAACCTAAGGTCCATAGCAAGGCCAAAAGAAAACTGAGACCCTGAGCTCTAAGGGAGTGGAGGGTGGGTGACTCGCGACGGGACGACGAAAAGTGAGGCCGGAAGGCTGGTGCCGCAGCAATTTGGGCTGCTAAACACACCCCCTCGCAGGCACCTGGTTGGGTGCCTGCCCGTGGGCGTAGGCCAGCCAGGTGAGTGGGAGGCAGGGGGCTAATGCCCCCTGCTTGAGGCGGAGTCCGGCTCCCGACCACAACCACTCCCCTCTCTTGCAGGAGGAGAGTCTTTGCATTTAATTGTACTGCATACAATAACATGCAGAGTAAGAAATAAATGAAGCAATAAAAATACAATTAAAAATAAGTAAGAATACTTAATAAAGACATTCCACAGACCACCTGAATGAAGCTCGTGGACCTCAGCTAATATTTTATGTGCCAGGAGCCACGTTGACTCATGGTCAACCCAGTGGCAAACTTTGAGCTCTCAAATTTCAGTGGCGCCCTGGGTGACAGCAAAATTCCGCCTTTCTCACTCCATTCTACAGCATTGTTGTGGCACTTAGTGCAGCCAAACCGGTCGCACTACCCTAAACCTGCCTCTGGTCAACCCTCTAGGTGTGGCTGAAGAGTAAAAGTGGGTGTGGTGAAAATTGACATTTCAAATTGATTGACATCCTATACCCTTTAAAATTTTTCTTTGGGGGGGGTTATTGGGTTGCTGTTTTTATTTTGATTATCTATATTGTGGTTTTATATTTTAATTTGTTCTGTGAACCATCCTGAGATCTCCGTGTATAGGGCAGTATATATCGTAAATATAAATAATAATAAATATAAATATATAAATATATAGAGAGAGAGAGAGAAAATGTGGGGAAGGTGGGTGCTGATGGCCAGACAATCAGGAATGTCTACAGAATCTACAGCAACTACTGACTTCTCTTATCAAAATAAATGTGTGACAGCCCCCCTTTTAATCAAAGGAAAATAAATAAACTGCTGGGCCCCAGGAACTTCTGCCTTTATTTATTTATATGATTTATAAGATAATTAGGTGCCTTGTTTTAATGCATACTACACAGCCTGCAGAATCCTAATGAGACTTTTATAATGTGCCTAGATCAGGGCAAAGATCTGCATTGCAAATTTAAAACCTTTTTAAAAGTCGAAAACATTTGTGAATGGACATTAATTTAAATATAGTACACATATGTGTCAGCATATCCGAATGCTTTTAACAGAACTAGTGTTTCTAAATTAATTTGACATGATTGTCAATCTCACTGTATTCAATCCTGCAGCTTTTAGGTCAGCTGAGAAACCTGTATACTCATCATTTGGACTGCTAAATTTGAGAAGTACATAATCTATAACTCAGTTTTCCTAAAATGGCACAGCACCGAGAGCTCAGAGTTGTAGATTTAAATTTTAACTGGAACATTGGCAGTACAAGCAGAAAATCAAATTCTATACAATAGCTCAATTCTTGACACTATCTTTAACCTCTTCTGCTTATTACCAAGCTGAGAGGAGGGGGAAGAGTGCTATATAACATTTAGTAATGGAACTGTAACCACTGCAAATATAATTTGATTAGCCATACTTGAAACACCTCCAATTTCTTGCTGCAGCTGCAAAGTCTGCCAGTCTTTTAAGGTATATTCCAGAGAAAATAAAAGCAGCATTATCTAAAAACTGGGGCTACTTGTGAAAATTAAGAACAACAAAAGGAAATTTAACTTGTGAAAATTAAGAACTTGTGAAAATTAAGAACAACAAAAATATTTATTTCAAGTTAGTGAATACTAAGGGACTCTACCCTGATATCAAAGACCATTTGGAATGAGAGAACTCAATGGGTGAGGTTAAGAGGGGCAGAAAAAAAGCAAATCATTGTTATAGGCATATAAATTAAAAGGAGTTCAGGCCTTGCTTCTGAGAGGAAAGCATTTTGTTCTCTTACAGGAAAATCATCAATGCAGTCAACTGCGTGTATATAAAATAAACTTGGTAGAGATTCCTTGAGTCCAATATACTGTACATGGCATTCTTTTGATGCAATCCAATGAATTTCAGTAGGGTAAAGGTCAGCCGCTGGAGGTCCCATGGCCAAATCTGGCTCCCAATGGCATGCCACTTGCCCCTCATCCACTTGCTAATGCGAGGTCAAAAATGCCCAACAAGCCATTTAGAGGGAATGAAGGTTGAAGATGTATGACCAGCTTCAATAAAATGAGTCCTATTGGATCATTCCCAATGGATCCTTGAATCCACCAACGGTTGGTTGGTTGGTTGGTTGGTTACCATAGTTAGTTAAAAACATTTTAAGGTTGCTATTCTGAAGAAATGCCCATCCAAAGTGGCTTACAATAAAAGTAGAAGATAAAAAAGTACAACATTTAAAACTAAAAACCTAACACTACACTTTTTCTTCTTCAAAGAACTAGGGAGAGCATAGCTGAGAACGATCAGGACCTAGCTAATGAACATAACACCTGGAAGGCCAGCTGGAAAAAAAAGTGGACAGTGGACTACGTTTGGCTCAATAGGTCACATATTGCAAAGGTCAGCTATGAATAAATATATATATATATTTTTAAATGATGTTTATTGAGAATTTTAAAATTACAAAAAAAAGAAGGAAAAAACAAGAAAGAATTAAACAATACAAATCGATAAAAGTCAAAATCAAAAAGCAAAAACAAAACACATAACACATCAAAATCAGAAAGCAAAAATAAACCGCAAAGATTTAAAAACAGATCCAATATTCCCAAATCCTTAACTGTCATTACCTTATTTCATCGACCTCCTCACCCTCCCTTTTTTGTATTCCAGTTATTAATTATAACAGCAAATCCTTCCCATTTTTCATAATATTCTGTCATTAAATTACCTTAATCTATTTTAACCTTATCTTACCATAAAAACCCTAAAACTTAAAACTTAAATCTTATTTATACCAATTTCTCATAACCATAGCATATTCTTACATAGTTCTTTTTAACATTTCTGCTAAAGCCAAATAATTTCGTTCCAACATTTTTCTAATACTCATTAATTTTAGAAAACATTCCTAAGTAGAATTTTTAAAACTTTCTTCCAATCTTCATCCAACGTCTCTTCCTCCTGGTCTCGGGTTTTGTCAGTCCTTTCTATCCCATCCATCTAGTTCATTAACCTGGTAACCTTATGTCCGAGGCCCTTAAGTCTCTTCCATGTCCCTTCCGCAGATCTTCTTCATATTTATACCTGTACTTTACTTTGTCTTCTGCTCCTTTCACTCGTGGAGACTCCAGCTTGACAATATTTTTGTCCCTTCTCGACAGATCAGCCCCTTTTCCATAGTCCACACTGAACTCCATGTGGTATGGGGGGTCTATCCAGCCACCCATCTCCAAGCCAAACAAGACTCTATCTCTCCAAATCTGGCTTTTTCCAGATTCATTCGTCAGATCCAACAACTCATGTTCCTGCTGGGCCACAGTTCCCTCCATCTCTGCCTCCCGTCCAGCCACAACCTCCTCCCTCATCTGATCTGTCAGAGCACACTCCTGAATTGATTCCTGAGTGGGTTCTATATAGATACCCACTACCTGTCCAAAATTTCTGATCGCAACAGTCATCAAATCCGTCTTCTCATGTAACTGTTCCAATAAAGCACTTGTCTTGCAGAAAGCACGCACCAGAGCCTCCAAGTACATTGTTGTGCAAGGTCAAAGTCTGATCCCACGATCTTAACCTATTGCAGCTGCAAAGCTCCCCAGTTCAAATTTAATAACAGTTTCACAAGCTCCCTCTAGGGGAAGAACTTCTATTTGTATCCATCTCTCTCTTTTTTTTTTAAGCAGATCTAACAACAAAGTTTCCTTTTTCAGATATTTTGTCAATATTTTGTTCCTTTTAACTGCGAAGGAGAACAATGGAATCACTATGTTTCTCTTCTTATAACTGTCTGTCAAAAACGTTTGTCTATAGTCAATGAACTCCGAAAACGTCTGTCCTGACACCCCGCTCCCAGGTTCAAGACAGTGGAAAATTGCTTCTCTTTACACACTCTTCTGCAGGTTTAAACAGTCCAGAAAAAATCCCCCCTCTTCTCCTGCTTCCAAAGGGGGTTCAGTAATTTTAGATGATGAAAGTTGATCCTTTACAAACGGTTTTCTAAACTCTAGCTTGCCATGTCTTTGCTTTAATCTTTCTACAAAAAGCAGAAGGCTGACTTCCTGTTTAGACCTTCCCGCTTCAGTGCCAAATTAAAAGGAATTTCTTAGTCCAATTTTCCGTTCTACTCACAGGTCGTTGTTTAGAGTCCAATTGTCCAAGTTTAACCTACTCACGGGTAGCTGTTTTTGTAGCCAGATTGTCACACGAGAAAGGTAGCGCTCTCCGGTAACAGCTGTGCGGCTTCGCTCCACGGAAGAAGCAGTTGACTCTCAGCACCGCGCCGCTTGCCCTGCTTCGCTCCGGAGCCCGTAATTGGGTTCCTTTACAAATTGGGGGGGCGCAAAAGGTGCCCGCCGATCCCACAGTCACAGGCTTCACCCGCCTGTGATTTTTTAAAGGGTCCCCGCTTCGCTGTAGCAGAACAGACCCGATTTCCGTACAGCCAGTCCCTCCGGATCAGAGGGAGTCCGCCATTACCGATGGCGCCACCCCGAAAGTCTAGCTATGAATAAATATATAACACCAGTCATGCCTTTATTCAAGGATCTTGGGTATATCCTTAATAATTCCCCCAATTTCTCTCTCAATATATTGTAAGCTGGGGAGCTGAGATGGTAAAGGTTGGATTTCTAGGCTCTCCCTGCAAAAAAAGCCATGCAAGATATAATGAGTAGGTCTTGTTCTCTGCATGAAATAATATAATTGCTGGGAAAAGATTAATGGCACCATATGTCTTCAAGTAGTAGTTCAAGCAGTATTTTTAAAGAACACAAAATATTAATGTCCCTGCTTTTCATATAATATGTAGTGCTTATAAACTAGCATCTTTTAAAATGTTATTTCTTCAAACACCTGTGCAAAATATACAGAAGACATTAAAGGGAATATTCCTTAACGCAGCATTTATTGAAAGCTCTATGTGATTAATCAGGAGCACAGCAAGGTAGCTTAAGCACCTAGGAAGTACTCCTTTCCCCCACTTCAAAGCCCATGTGCCGATATTAAGTATGTAACAGTGACATTTTCAACAGACAGCTACATGATTTAGGGCCTAACATCTAGTAAAAATCAAATGATCTAGCAACCTACCACTGCAATCAGTTCACTTTACATGTCTTTATTCACAGTAGACATTCATAGATTGGGCTATGTGTGTATGAGTCAGTTTTCAAAAAGGGAACTTACAGTGCACAGGTTTGCACAGAAGTAAGTCACGCTGTAAGGTCCATATAGTTAAAGCTATGGTTTTCCCAGTAGTGATGTATGGAAGTGAGAGCTGGACCATAAAGAAGGCTGATTGCCGAAGAATTGATGCTTTTGAATTATGGTGCTGGAGAAGACTCTTGAGAGTCCCATGGACTGCAAGAAGATCAGACCTCTCCATTCTTAAGGAAATCAGCCCTGAGTGCTCACTGGAAGGACAGATCCTGAAGCTGAGACTCCAATATTTTGGCCACCTCATGAGAAGAGAAGACTCCCTGGAAAAGACCCTGATGTTGGGAAAGATGGAGGGCACAAGGAGAAGGGGACAACAGAGGACGAGATGGTTGGATAGTGTTCTCGAAGCTACCAGCATGAGTTTGATCAAACTGCGGGAGGCAGTGGACGACAGAAGTGCCTGGCGTGCTCTGGTCCATGGGGTCACAAAGAGTTGGACACGACTAAACAACCAAACAACAACAAAGTCACGCTGTGGACAGATCCACACCATACAACAAAAGTACATCCTGTTGACATTTTAAAGCGCAAGACTTCTCCCAAAGGACCTGGGGAACTTTAGTTTGTTAAGGGAGTTGGGAATTGTAGCCCACTGGGGGGAAACTACAGTTCCCATGGGTCTTTGTGGGGAAACTGTGTGCTTTAAATGTACACTTGCCTGCTTACTTGCATCTTGTGTGATGGGGCTCTGAGAAGGCAATTGTTAGCAATGTTCTCTTCCTACTACCTTTGTCCTGAGGATGTGCACCTTTTATCAACGTATATGTCAATGCTTTGTAACCAGTCAGCATGTAAGACAATATATGCTCATGATGGCTTGATGTAAGCAACATGGATAAAAATATTTCCTGGGCACCCAGGCTGTACCTGGGTCTAAATAAAATATATTCTTCCCCACCCTGGTGTGATTTATTAGCTCAGGTCTCCCCAGCATCAGACTCTAATCTATTAGAGTACAGTGGTACCTCGAGTTACATACACTTCAGGTTACATACGCTTCAGGTTACAGACTCCGCTAACCCAGAAATAGTGCTTCAGGTTAATAACTTTGCTTCAGGATGAGAACAGAAATTGGGCTCCGGCAGCGCAGCGGCAGTGGGAGGCCCCATTAGCTAAAGTGGTGCTTCAGGTTAAGAACAGTTTCAGGTTAAGAACAGACCTCCGGAACGAATTAAGTACTTAAACCGAGGTACCACTGTACTTCACATAGAGCAGCAGTTGTTACAATACCCCAGTGTGGAAGGCCAGTATTGTTCTCGAACTGCAGAAAGGCAAGTATTTGCCTGAGTTCACATACTGAATACATGTCTGAGATGGGATTTGAACCAGAGATTGACCAGCTTGTAGTTGTCAGCTAATCCACTTCATTACTTCACAAAAGCCTGTGCAGAAAGTTCAATTAATAAGCAATGCTCACATGGAGGGGAAACAGGGATCACGGTTGTTGGCCCCAATTCTGATCCTGTTTAAAGAATAAAGCCCAACTCATCAACAGTCCCATTTTCAAGGGGGCCAGATTTAAGCAAGACCTCTCAGATTCACTAGGAGCATTATTCCCTCCATGATTGACTTTATGATTGACTCCATGATTGACTTTATAATTCTTTTTAAACCGATGCATTATTTTGCTGAAACCTGGTCTCTCTCTCTCTCTCTCTCTCTCTCTCTGTGTGTGTGTGTGTGTGTGTGTTTTAAACTGATTTTTATCCTGGATATGTTACTTCCACAACATGTAGCCTTTTAAGATTCTGAGTAGGACCTTGCTCTTTTCAGAGCTCCCCCACTTTGATCCATCTCTTCCCCTGTGTAATCACCTCTTCCTGTTCATATAATTGGCTCCTTGTTTGTCACAGTGAACTTTTACAATGTCAAATTAATTTCCTGAAATGTGCATGGTTTCCTTGACAGCTCTATAGCCTGTGCAGATTGGGATGAATTCCATATCAGGTGGTATCTCTCTCTCTCCACCCCACCCCCCCCCAATTTCCCACTGAAAGGATGTTGGTCTTAACAGTGAGCTGGATAAGCAACATTGCAAGATACTTAACAGTAAACCAGCTAACCCCTGAATAGTAGCCTCCAGCCTTCAAAGAATGGCGTTACATCGTACATTTATCATGTGTATAGCCTCAAGCCAACAGAGCACTAATGCCCCTGTGAAATTTTAGTGAATACAGGCACAAATCAGTACTAACATGAGAGTCACTGCCTATGTTCATAATAACACTGCCTACTTTGGGTTTTATAAAATATTGTTCAGTACGTATTAGCACTTTTAACAGATGCTTCTTTGATAGTAGAGTGTGAATGTTCCAAAACATCCAAAGACAGAGATTGTTCGGAACCAGTTTGGGAGATGCGGAAGGAAAACAAGGACCAAATGAAAACCTTCCCACTAGCTCCCCAGATGCAATGGAGCTGAATTCCTCTTGCTCCAGTTAGACCGAGAAGAGGGAACCACTCAGAAGATTTCCCTTGCCTTTATCTCCCCCTTGCTTGAAGAGACAAAATGGCAACAGCAGTCTTGAAGAGATAATTCAATTCCTCTGGGAGTGGCGCCATCTTGAATAAGATGGGGCTTCCCTAAATCAATCCAACAGCACCTACTAGGGTAGGCAGCCTCAGTGGCAGAGGAACCCTCTCTGGCACCCAGGGCAGGACACCGAGGGGCGGGTTGAACTGCCCGGCGACACACGTGCAACATCCATACAGACTATGGTCACTGTGCAAGAGGCAGCCCGTATGGATGGTGCACGAGAGCGGCAGCCTGTACAGATTGTACATGCCCTCGGCCGCTCTACAGCTGAGGGGAGGCAGGGGCCATCCTGTCACACACACCCCAGAGTGGCACCCGGGGTGACCTGTCCCCTCCACCCCCCACTTCGTACGCCCCTGGGCAGCCTGTGGCTTTAGAACACCCACCTTACCTAACCATTGGCCATGTTGGCTGGGGCTGATATGAGCTGGAGTTCAACAACATTTGGAAAGTTGTAGACTTCCCCTCCTCTTCTGAGTGTTCTGCACAGTGTGCTTTACATAAGAGATAAGCAGGTAGGGCTTGATCAAAGAGAAGAGCTGCAGCAAGGAAAGCGAAAAGAAGCACCATTTAAGTGTTTTTGGCGCCATGGTCTAAAGCACTGAGCCTCTCGGGCTTGCCGATCAGGAGGTCGGTGGTTCGAATCCAGGCAACGGGGTGAGCTCCTGTTGCTCAGTCCCAGCTCTTGCCAACCTAGCAGTTTGAAAGCACCCCCAAAAAAAAATGCAAGTAGATAAATAGGTACCACTCTGGCAGGAAGGTAAACAGTGTTTCCATTCGCTGCTCTGGTTGCAGTGTTCTGTTGTGCCAGAAGTGGCTTAGTCATGCTGGCCACACGACCCAGAAAAACTGTCTGTGGACAAACGCCAGCTCCCTCAGCCTTTAAAGCAAGATGAGTGCCGCAACCCCAGAGTCATTCGTGACTGGACCTAACTGTCAGGGGTCCTTTACCCTTAAGTTTTTAATATTTCCTTAGACTCCTTAGAATGATGCCTGGATGGAGGAAGAGTCTCTGAGTATGTGTGGAAACTAACCTATGGTACAAAGGTAACATATACACGTGTCATTCTGCCTACTTTGCATCTGGCCTCACCCAGCCCTGGCATGTGGACCCCCTAGGAGTTGCTTAGAAGGAAATGTGGTCCTTGGGCTTAAAAAATCCCCCTGAAATCTTGCTGCCACTTGCTAGAGATTGGGGGTCATGTGTAACAATAGAAATGTGATGTGGGGAAAATTTAAGTCCTCCTGACCCTTCTTAGTATTTCGTTTTGACCTTAGGCAGCCACTGAATCTGTTAACCTTCATTAATAACCAAGCAGCAATAATATTTATCTGAGGCCTATTTATTCCTCCAAGATTCTGGGTAAATATAATTCTGACTTTATGCTTGGATAAATAAATGGGAGCTCCTCACCAAAATAGTAAATGAATTTTGAATGCTTATGTGGAGGAAAACCAATTTAGGGGTTTAGAAGGTGAGCACAAATTGTTCTAAGATTGATTTCAAAAGCTAACATGCTCGATAATACTTTTTTAAAAAAACCACACCATATAGCACTTGTTTTAAAATGGCTTCATATTTCTCACCATGTTTTCCAAATAAAATCTTCTCCAGTTAGAATCTTAAAATATATCATTGTGTTTCCTCTGCAGCCTTAGTATGTGATTTCAGGACCACAACTCATTTACTGCTGACAATAAAATTCTGTCATTAAACTACACAGGTAACAACAATCTTCCTGTTCCAAGAAACTAGTTGAAAATGTTTAATCAGTTCCATGAATCTCTTTTAAAAACAAAAGTGAGGGTTTCTACACAGTCAATGTTTGCAGCAGCAGGACAGGAATGGAACAATGCATACCTTATTTCCAGTATTCACAAAACTAAACTACCTCTTCGCAAATCCTCTTGACTAGTATTCAGCAGCCTAGTGCCATCCAGATGTTTTGGACTACAACTCTCATCAGCCCCCAGCCAACATCACCATGCTGATGTGAGTTGTAGCCCAGCACACCTGGAGGGCACCAGGTTGGAGAAGGCTGTTTTTGATCAGCCCAAGATCCATGGATTGCATGGTGAAATATATTGTGTTACCCTTTCCTCATCTTTCATCCTTGGACTGGGGACATGAGAGCAGGGGCAGGAGTAAGACAGGTTTCTCAGTACAGTCGAATGGAGACCACAGGAGACAAGAATCGAGAATCACATAAACCCTATTCAGGCATTGTACTGACGGTTAAAATGTGACAGGGAGTAGGGCCACATTGGCGTAGCTCCTCTTTCTGGCACCCATGTGAAGAACACAAATATCTCAAGTGGGGGCTTTTCATCTACAGGTTTCCATGCATTCTGGAATGTTGAATGATCAGAGTTCTGGATCACAAGGAAGTCTGTATATGCCCCCTTCAAACATATGCATGGGCAGCAGGGTGCCCTTTCCTGCTCACACGTTGGTGTTAGCTGTGACTAATACATCCAAACAGGGCTATATAAAATAGAGGTTAAAGCCAGTGTGCAATTTATGTAGCTCAGAAACAATCTGAAATAGATATGGTAGAAAGCAGATATCCAAAAGCCCTTTGTACAGATAATTTAAAGAAATACTGCAAAGAACCTAAGCAAAGTATGACTTAAAGAAGAAAATATTAAGAAGGACATGGTAAAGTTATGAAATATGTAATCAGCTGTCATGAAGATAAAGAATAATTAATGCAAGGCCCTCTCAGGGTAGCACAGGAGGGAATGTCTTCAAACTGCAGCAATTCAGAAGTAAAAATAAACTGACAGGCAATGGAATAAGTTGCCCTCGAAAGTTGGAAGATTTTCAATGGCAATTTTAAAAGGTCATTTAAGGATCATCTTCCAGAGTAAGGGAGCCATGTCGCTGCAGAAGGGTGGGCTAGATGGGGCTCAATACTTTTTCAGTCTCACCTGTATGAATTGTGCACACAATATTTTATTTCCCATGTTTTCCCAAGAACTGACAATAATTTAGCATTTGTTTCAACTGATATTCAGGGTGTGGGTCCCCCCCCCCAGCCAGAACTTGCTGGAATTTAGTTCTGGCACCTCTCAGGTGGGCACCATTGCCATTCCAAGAGAACGAAGGAGGTGCTCGTGCTGAGTTCTGGCACCTCTTTTTTCTAGCAAATAGCACTGCTGATATTACTAGTGGCACTATTACCCACCCCTCACCAGCAGGTCCTAGGGTGGGTTGCAGCAATTTACAATTCAGAAATTCAGAACAGCTGAAACAGACTAGCCCCAGGAATAGGTTGGGTCCTGTGAAGTCTTAGCAATGGCTTTCCAGGTCCTG